AACATCACCCCGTCCCAACTTTTTTGGAACGTGTTGTTGGCATCAAATTGAAAATGGCCATATATTTAAAAAAAAAAAAATTCAGTTTCAACATTTGATTTGATACAAATTCATCGTAGTATTTTCCTTTAGAAATATGGTTTACATGATTTGCATATCATTGTATTCTATTTTTATATACATTCTGCACAACATCCCAACTGGGGTTGTAGTTTATTAGATGTTATATGTGTTACAACTTGGCTGTGTTTTCTTGAGCTCTTTTATAGTGTAACTATGGTTGGAAGTGTCTACAATTTGTGCTGTGGTAGGCTTTTTCTGACCTTCCCCTTATTTGGCCCTTGTGGTTCAGTTCTGTCCTCCTCTCTGATGTTTCAATAAAGAGCATTTTCCTAAAAAAATGTCTATCCTCTTCTAGTTTTTGATTCTGGGTAAGATTGACACTATTTGGGCACTAATGATATCTGAGTATATTTATCGGCCAAACTCCACCCTTCCGAGTCATGCCGGTATCCTCCCTTTCAATAATGTTTCAATAAAGCTACTTAAGTGAGAATATTCAACCTGCTAAACATCTGACAGGTTCAAGTCTGCACTTTTGATGACAGAAACGGTCAAAAACATGGTTTTCACAAAAACAAGACTGTACACACAAAATCTTCAAATAATGATTAACCTCTTCCACAAAAACACACATATGTGATGCAGATTGATCAACAAAAGGTTTCTCTGCCTGTTTCAATGCAAGAAGAAGCATTTTCAGACTTACAGAGTGCTAAGAGGGCTATATTTCCAAAAAGTGAAATGTTTCTGATGCTGTCACTTGTTTTTCTTTTTTGTCAGCCTGTAGTTGGATGAGTTTGGGGTCAGTATGGGTTTCTGTCCGTCTCTAAATACACTCACTTTCCCCGAAGCTGAGTCGGCTTCTGCTGCTGGAAAAATAATATGAATTCCCTGGAGCTGGCTGTGTGTGGCTGTGAGGCGTATGTGTGTGTGTGTGTGTGTGTGTGAGTGTGTGTGCGTGTGTGTGTGTGTGTGTGTGTGTGTGTGAGCACTTGGAATAGTAATAGCTTCATTGTCTAAGCCGATGGGTGTACAACACCCTTTCCTCCATAAAGCTTCATTCTGCATACCAACCTGCACTCAAAACCTCCAACTCTGATAAACACCTTCTAGTTTATTTGAGCTCATTTATATTTCAAAATGACAGGAGCTAATTAGCAGTGACAGAATGGCAGTTTAGATGGACGTGGTCACTGCTTAATTCTGAAATTGGAGGCAGGCGGAGAATGTTAATGTTTCAGTTTCAGGAGAAAGACCTGGAGCGGCTAATATTGATGAGTCATTTGCGAATGATTCGTTCTTTTTGTGCAAATCGTTCAAACAGTTCTGCCCAGCTATAGCCTGTTTTTGACATATTATGATATATTGTGATATAAAACTTTTTGTTTACCTAATTTTCCCACTAATTGCATCATGTCCATTTCCACCTAATCACATGATGCAATCAATTTTGGAAGGTGAAAGCTAGCATGAGCTTTTTCTTAGACACATCTTTTCATACTGCCAGTAATATAACATCATTGGACAGCTCAACATGCTTGGAGAAGAGCGGTAACTACAGATTTTCTTACGCCAGCTAACAGACGCCCACTTCATCATCATACTGAGTCGGGGGGGGGCAGTTTATTTCTTGGTCTCACTTTATTTGGATAGTCCACTGTAGTCACCTACAGATTACCTACAGATGAAATGTTCAAAGTGTTAACAAACTATCTGTTGAAACTCAGTTGATTCTAAACAGTGGTGGGTTTAGGGTTAGGATTTAGATCCATTGACCGTTGGGTTTAGGATTTGGGTAGAGGTTAAGATTAGGGTTAGGATTAGCGCCAGGTTTAGATTGAAATAAACAATTTAGTAGATATTTAGTTAAATGTACCTTGAAAGTAAATTAAGTATCTACAAAACATCTAAAGTTGACTATCCAAATAAAATGTCTTCCCACCAGTGCCACCACTGATGGACAGTCTAACCAGAATGAAACAAAAGACTTTTCAGAGTTATCTTGATGATTAAGAAAAACATGATTTTGTTATCTAATTAGTTTACGATGATTGGGCCTTTGTGTATCATTATTTTTTCCCAAAATATTGTGGATTGTTGTATCTTTTCACCCACCTCCTAACTCTAGCCTGTTCATACAATGCAAACCTAGAGGAAGTCACAGATGAAATGGAGTGGAGCATAACAGAATCTTCATTATCTTAAGTCCAGTTCAAAAAGCCAGTAGATGCTGTCCAAGGTTCTGAAATGAAGGACATTAAAATCTACAGATAAGTACATTTACTGGCCACTTTATAGCCCCACCTCGTGATTTCAACTTGCTTTATGGTTTAATAAAACAATGAAACATAAGGGAATAGCATTAACAAGACTGGAATATTATCATTAAAAATCATGTTAAAATGATCAGCTTTAGTAATGAAATAAAAAATGGCAGCACACTTCAGATGATCAGGATAGAGTGAGACAGGCATTGACATCTGTCCACTGTATCTAATCTAACAATTCTGACAGATTTACTGCCACTGCTGTTCTTACTGCAGGTTTGTTCTGAAGAGCTCCATCCATTCACTTGGGGAAAGAAACGTTTTGAGACAGCTGAGAGGCTTTGATCATAGCCTGAAAGATTAGCTTATTTAGCCTGTGTCATGTCATAGCAGCATGGGGTTTCCCATTCATATAGACAGTGATTCAGGGGACAAATGATCGATCCATAAATACAAAAATGTTCTTATGACTTGAGACACTTGTACGCCCCCTATTGGCCTTCTTATTTTAAGAAGTGCAGAATGACAACCAAAACCTAATGAGGGATGTTTAGTGACATGCCAGCTAGATACTACCACTTCAAGTAGCCCTAAACATTAGTTGATTTTTTGAAAACAGTTTTTAATGTGTGTACATCACCCTTCAAAAATAATCTGCCAGGCTAACATTATGCTGGGCTTACATTATTGTCAGAGCAAGTACTGGATCCTCAAATCTGGACGTTGAATCTATTTTCCAATCCTGGATTTTGTAATGTATGACACTTGGTGGCCAGTGAGGCACCTCAGCAGTTCAGTTATCTGTATTAGTAAGTACAAAACACATAAACGGAATTTATGCCCTGGATTTGAAGATTTCTAGGCCAGCAGTTCTCAAAGTTTTTTAGCCTAAGGCCCCATTTGTTTATAGCAAATGCCACTGTGTCCCTCCTCCCTCCCACGCCAAGGTCTTTAATTTTACTTAATGAACAAGGACTATGTCTTACCAGAACCTTGTCCATTCTGCTTGCATTCTCTGCAGCCATTGTTAACCTGCACATGAATTTATGATAAATAAGCGCAGCATGAATGGATTACTTGGCACATATTTCAGTTTATCATTTTTAAAGTACCACTATTTAAGATACAGCCAAAGCAGATTTGATGCACTAAAAAATGACAAGATGAGATGAAACTTCTAAGACTTTTCTGTAGTTATCTTGTGTTCTTAGCACTACTCTACCCCCACCCCATCCTTATCCTCCCAAAGGACCCTAGTTTGAGTGGCTGCCCTAGGCTGAAATTCAATCCCATCTAGAGCCTAAAATACTATTGAATATTACTATTGATACATTATTGAATACACTGTGAATAAACATACATACTTATTTAGTAAAATGATTTTGATATGTATCCTAATCAGTGGAGCTGCTGAACTGGTGCTGCTGTGGTTCATTCGCCCCAAAACACTTAATGAATCAGCGAATCAGATTCATATTAAAGAACTCATTTAAATAATTGGAATCTCTCACAAGAATGCTCACCAGCTAGCTAAACTTTGATTTAAGGTCAAATGTTTCCATCTCAAAAGCTTATTATTTAGATCATTAAAATGGACTAATATGATAATGACCCATTTATTAAAATTATGAACATTATCTAATTTGATTTTAATGGCTAGAATTGCCTCTTTTGCCCTTGTCACACCACTCAGTCCAAGCTTAATTTCTGCATACTTAATGATAATTTATGAATTAAGACGTAAACAAAGTCATTCAGAGCGGTTTGATGCGAAATGCTCCTTGCTAGAGAAACATGAAACTTAAAGAATCAGAATGTTGATTGACAGTGCTGGTGATAAGAACCAGATGTGTGTGTGTATATATATATATATATATATATATATGAATGGAATAGGTGGAATAGGAAGCACAATTAAGAAACCAACCAGCTTTGTTGTCATTTGTCTAATATGTGTATCCAATATGCTTGAGCCTCTGACCATCAGTTGCTGTTTGTTTGAGCAAAAGTCCTCGCCTGATGAAGCTGGATGAGTCAGGCAGCTCCTCAGGTGGTATGAGGGGAAATAAAGATGGCAATCGCTCTGGTGTCCATGTTAGGTTAAAGCTCCCTCCAAAAGATCAACCATTCCTTTTTGTCCACTGCCTCAAAAACAAAGTGGACCACAATGGAAAGGACTAGACAGTGGGAGGTGATCAAGGTTCTGCTGTGTTTTCATTTGAAATGTGACTGAAACACCCCTGAGCCAGGCATTCAGCCAAACGGGCTAACGTCAGTGCAGTTTGCGCTGTTTGTATGTAGTATTATCCATGCTTGCTTGTGGCATGCTGCTAAACTTGTATCTGAGAAAGAATTTCAGCCAGTATACTAGATGAACAGCCCATTATTCACCTATCAATAAAATACCCTGTGGTCCATGCAGGCAATACAACTGTCAAAGATCATCCATGAACAGCACAGTGGTTTTTAATTATTATTATTATTATTAAGTTATTACATATTAAAACATAGGGTAGTTGATGTATGTGGTCATATGTGTATCTATTAAGTATTTTACAGTGGTGGACGTGGCTTAACCAATCAGATTTCAGACCTCCCCAGCACAAAAAATAGCCTCCACCTGTGCATAACAGTAATGACAGTAATGTCTGTCTCCCTCTCCACCTGCAGACAGCAACTTCCTCCTGGGTAACGCTCAGGGTCACCGTGGTTACCCCATCGTGTACTGCTCGGATGGGTTCTGCGAGCTGACGGGCTTTGTGAGGACGGAGGTGATGCAGAAAAACTGCAGCTGCCGCTTCCTGTACGGCCCTGGGACCAACGAACACGTCGCTCAGGGCATGGAGAAGGCACTGGAGAGCAAAGAGGAGTACCAGGCCGAGGTCCAGTTCTACAAGAAAAATGGTAAGAATGACTTCTAATCATGTACTAACCTTAAAGTAAAAGTGTGGCAGAGCTCCGCCCCCCTCACCCCAAATGCAGTCAATCAGCCATGATGTGCCATTCATTTCAATAACAGTTTTAACAAGCCCTCGTCCACTTAGCCTCGTCACTCCCCCACAGGTGAATCCCAGGCGCCGTAAGGGTCGTTCTATCACTTTATTAACTTAAGTGACGTGTATTAGAAGAGCTCTTGGAATGGAGAAGGATCAAGTGAACACCAGTGTCGACAGCAGCAGAACGTGCCCGGAAATCACTGCAATCTGACCAATTTGCCTTTTCAAACCTGAACATAATGGCAATTTTTTATAGCCATATACGCCATAGCAGTAAACATCTACAAAACGCTTAACATTTTAAAACCTATAGATTTGTTGGGCTTTGCTTGGCTTTAGGTTGCAAACAACTCCATCTCTTGTACATGACTGCTGATGCAACTTCATCACTTTCCTCTGCTAGCTGGCTAGTTAGCATGCTAAAGTCTATGTGGCTGACAACAATATTAAGAAAGGCAAAATCCAGCATAGACCACCATGACTGATCACCAGTAAAACCACCATATATATTGTTTTGGATGTTGGTATGCTTGTCAACCAGCATGACCATGCTGGGTGACCAGCAAAACCAGCACCAGACCAGCACTGGACCCGCATAAACCAACTTTGACCAGCTTAGACTATGCTGTTTTTTTCAACAGGGCTGATCTATGCCAAACTTTATAGCTTAACAAAGCCATTATTCACCAAAAGAAAAGTACATAATGCTCAAACTATCTGAAGTTTGCTCCTTTAGTTTTTAACTGCTACGAGTCTAATAGAGCTAAGAAGTAATGGAATCTCGTACCACACTTATTAGCACTGTGTAAATTGCACATGCCAAGGCAGGTCTTTGTAGCAAGGAAGCTACAAAACAATCTAGGCTTCCTCGGAGTGGAACAACTTGCCATGCCGGGCTAAATAAAAGTGGCACTTGCTCAGCTCCTGACACCTTACAGGGGGTTCAAATATTCTTGGAAAGAGCAATCATGAGGAGACAGGTTTAGCAGTATGGTGAAGACTTCTGTAATAAGCGGGAGACTAAGTAACTGCCTGTGCACGATGGTTCAGTTATTAAGTTGGACTGTAGAATGGAAGCCTGGGCCCTCTAGCAGGTCCTGGCCCTTTAAAGTGTTAAAGGGCTTCCATTACTTTTAGTCTATACAGGCAGAGGTCAACACACTGGCAGGTACATTCAAGGAGAGTCCATGACCAAAACCCAGAAAACACAAAGCAAAGGGAAACAAGTATAACTATAAGGAAGGAGAAATGCAAAGATAAGCAGTAGGACTTTGCAAACTGCAAAGACAAACTGAGACGTCAGGCTATGTAGGTGTGTTTGACTGAAGCTCAGAACTTGATATTGCCAACCTCCAAAAAAGAGAACACTCCATCAGCTGGGAATTCCTGCTCAAAAAGTTGGGAAGGTGTCCTCAGAGTTCAGTAGATGTTGTAGCAACATGGCTGCTCAAACCATCAACAGTAGTTGAAGTACAGTTTTTCTGCTAGGAATTAAAACCTGATGGTTTTAATAGGGAGGAATAGGCTTAATATTTGACTTGATTTCAAATAAATTAGTAAACTTTTAATGGTTTCTATTTCATGTTATTTCATCCACAGCTTGTGCAGAGGCAAAAAATGACATGGTACCAAGCTCTGACTTCTCACAGTTGAGTTGAACCAGAACTTCTGCGACTCAAATCACATTTTGACTGACTTGTGACCCGACTCGGACTCGACACCAAAGAAAAACATGAATGAAACTGGTTAAATTAGATCAGCCAAACTTACTGCAGTAAATGAATGAAACCTTTCATTCCCAACCTTACCTTGCCTGCCATTTTTGCTACGGTAATGAGCAGTCATTACCGAAAGGCTATTCTTCCACAGCTCACAGTGGCATCAGATTCAATACAGCATCAGATAACAAGCCCTTCATTCAGAATGAAGGACAGAACTGGAGCACTGCATGCAGCAGACGCAATTTGTAAAGGAAAGAGGCAAAACAACTTGAAACATTAAGTTAGTCTGTAGTTTGGATAGCAAGTATGTAGCAAATATGCTAGGTAGCGCAATAGCTTATTTAGCTAAAGTTGCTGGCTTACCTAGCTGAAGTTTTACAGATCACATTTCTTTAAAACTTATAAACGGATTAGTGGTTATGCCAGCTAGCTAGCATACTTGCTAAACAAACTACAGACTAACCAGCCATTTCAAGTTGCTCTGCTCCAGACAGCAAGAGGGTAGCAGGCCACTGTTGGCCCACTGACGGCAAAGCTGACGGCCCACTGGCTTTTTGCTCAGCGTTTCCCAGGTAGCCCGTTGCTGGTTAAGCAGAGTGTGGCAAAATGCCACTTTCATCACTCGGTTCCCACTCACTGTCCAATTTATTTATTTTTCCTCCATTAGCCTTTATACATTAGATTAGTAAATGACTTTAATTATCAGCAACATTTTCAACTTAATCATTTAATATTAAGCCTAGTCATTTTTTTCTTTCTTTTCTTTTCTCAGTTGCTTGTAATATTTGTCTTAGTTTATTTTCCAAAATAAAAGACAATGAGCTTTAAAATATTTGATGAGATTAAAAACTGGTTAGTCCTAGTACACAGGACAATCTGGGTGGTCCAAAATTGGACCAGCACAGGCAGTCAGTGGGGTGTTGACCTTATCAAGCCAGTCGACCAATATGTGCCTGATACCTGGGGGCTGTTTCTTCTAAACACCAGATTTTCTACATGTAGCGCTTCAGTTTTTTCCTTCAGTCTAAGGCTGTGTTTAGACTGCAGGCAAATTGGATTTTTTTCTTAAATCAGATCTTTGGAGACAAATGTCCGCACTGTTATTGGCAAGATGTTTGAAACATCTGTTTGATCACACTTCAGATCAGACAAATCTGATTGAAATTGCATTTCAAACCACCTCTGAATGTGGTTTGGATTCGATTTGCAAAAATTAGATTTCATGTGTTTTTTTGTTGTTCACACTATCATAATCAATCTGGATACAATCTGGATATGCCAAAAAAGGATTTGGGATTTGGGATGTCAGTCTGAACAGGGCCTAAAGGTTTTTCCTTAAAGAAAGCCTTGTTATTTGAATCCATGTCAAAGCTGACAGGATTTTAGTTTTGTATAATGAAAAGGCTGTATCTAGTAATGAGACTACACTAAAATTCTCTACTAAAGACTTGAGACTCGACTCACACTTGCACCCCAGCAACTGGAGACTGGAGTCATATGTCCAGAGACTATAGCTGCAAGTATAATAGATCATGAGTGGGCAGAGCCAAGGTGAAGCTGAAGCCAGTGTGAGCCAATGGTAAATGGGGCATGTAGTCCAGAGAGACACCATGACAGCTTGTTCAGCCTAGCAACAATAGCTATGAAAGAATGGAGTGGGTGGAGCATGAGAGAGTGAGAGTAGGAGAGAGAGAGAGACCTTTACTCCTTACATTTCCATACCACTCTGAGGACTTCATATTAACATGTGAACCATACAGCAATGCTTCCCTTCTGTGAGCAGCAGCTACTGTAATGAATATGGGACACCGTTTCATCTTCCGTCACCTTGCCTATGGCAAACTGACATTACGCAGTTGTGTGTGTTTTCGTACAGTAGAGGGTGGAACATTAACTAGCACATCTACAGCCCAGTTTTGGCACTAATTAGGACTTACCCAGGATGAAAGAACATGCAGCAGGAGGCCCTAACCACTTCTAATTGGAAAGCCAAAACAGATATTAATGAATAAATCCTTTAAATCTATGAGAAAACTGGATATGTTCCATTTGTGTAATTTAGGACCAGTAAAGATGGTTAATTCATAACTGAACAGAGCAGTTTTCAAACCAGGTTAGAACATTTTAGTGGTGTTTCTGATTGTATTCATACATTGAGATAAATAACATATATATATAGGGCCTCAGCATGGGTGACATTTGAGAGCTATGTCAGGGGTGGCAAGCCATCTCCGTCAACTATATATTTGGGTCTACATCAGTAAAATAAAGTAACCTATAAATAAAATACTTAAGCATTCCTTTAAAATGATCATATATTGAACTAGTTTGTAACATTAGTGTTAGAATGTCCTTGGTGATGTTAGCATTCAGTGTTTCCAAACACATAGGGCCATTGTTTTCTGTGGCTTTTGTAATTTGACAGTATCTGTAGCGGTGGCTAGATAACACCAATGTTGTGTTGCGATTCTGACAGTATTGAGGCTGAGTACACAGGGTTCTGGCAGAAATCCCCAGCCTCCAGCAAAAGCCCTGCAGCCAACAACACACGCCACCAAGGGAAATGCCTTAGAGAGAAAGATTTGTTCAATATGAAAACCTTCACTGCAAGAGTTTCATAAAGTGCCATGTTGTTTTAAATCAGTATGGGACCTTAACAATGTAGCCGAATGAAACCATTAAATACTAACCAATGAACACATCAAATATATAAGCATTAGAACAATGCATTTTTCTTTCATACTGCAATTTAGTGTCTGGTATTAGTCAAATTCCTGAATGTGACTACCCGGCCTTAAATTTCACCATTTGGCCTTTTACTATCATAAATGTTTGAGGGGCCATAAAAGGGGAATTCATAACCATTTCATGTATTAACATCTTGTGAGGGAGCTTTTAGAAGCATTAAATGCTGCAGCTGTCTAGTTCCTATCACCACCACTGTGAACAGTTCCAATGTTGAATCGTGACTTTTAGAGCTAGGCCTTCAATTTGGGCCAATAGATTGAAAAACAATGGTGAAAATGGAGTTAAAACCCACCTCTATTATAATGCTCACTCTTTGCTAGTGCCCCTATGAGATTCTAATAGTTTGTTAGGGCTAAGCTAACAGCGATTCACATGAACATTTTGTAGCTGTTCTATTTTAAACATTTGAATCTTCACAAATATGTTCTATGTATTGGTTAAAACTTGTGACAGACATCTTAGCATAGATTTTACAGCAGTTTCACAGTCTAGTATAGAGCTGCCAATGCTGTTGTTCATTTCTAACAACCCATTGATTTGGCTGCCATTTGTATTCTATGCAGTTTCACTAGTGTGTTTTTTCTCGAGCTTTGCACAAGAATTGGGAGGGTATTTTCCCACCTTCTTTAATTTTAGGGGGAGCAAATGACACAATGCCCCCTCATAGTTGGTGCCTATGCCACTAATAGTTAATATAATGTATTAGGTCTTCTTTTCAGCTCTTGAAGTCCTAGGCAATAGGGGAGCTAGCTTAGCTTTATCTACCTAGATACCACAGAGAAAAACAATTCCTAAGTGACAATGTTTTGCACAGCCTTTCAACAGTTGAACCCTTTGGTTTCCATCCGAAACATAACAATGAAACAAGAGTAGTACTGTAATACATGCAGTGTGTAAATCCAGGCATGGTACTTAGGCTGTCTCTGAAGGCCTAGAACAACTCTGGCTGTGTTTCTCTAGAACGGAGCATTTCACATCAAACAACTCTGAATCATGCAAAAATGTACATCTCAGCTACAGATAAGGGCACTCACAGTAAGAGCCATTAAAATACACACACTACTCACCACATGAATTTCACTGTGCCCCATTTTCTCTGTGTTTTGTTGCAGGAACCTCGTTCTGGTGTCTACTGGACATCGTCCCCATTAAAAATGAGAAAGGAGAGATGGTGCTCTTCCTGTTCTCCTTCAAAGACATCACGGATACACACGGCAAGGGTCACCACAGTAGCATGAGAGACGGTATGATCATAAGGAACCTGGTTAGTTTGTAGATTTGCTCCAGGTTCTAAAGTTAGGCTGCTATGAATGCACATCTCTACTATGTGATGGTGATGTATCACATGTCATTGCCATTTTCTGGAGAGTTATTACAACTACAATCTTATCATCCACTTGGCTCTGGGAAAGATCTCTCCCTGTTTATATAAAGCGTTGCTAGCAAATTAAGCCTGCCTTTACTGTTTGCCTCCAAACAGCCTCCAAGTTCTGTGAAATTAGTACACAGGAAAAGCTCAAGTGATGAGCTAATAGCTACAGTGTAGAATTAAATTTTGGCTTATATTTGACCTTAATTTGTCCATTTGAGTCCAGTGTGATGAATGCACACAGTGTTGACACATCCTACATTTTTCTTGTGAACATTTAGAATGCTTGTGTGGTTTCATGCACAAAAAAGCAGTCATAATTCATTTTACATGACCATTTTCCATCTTCCCTTCCCCCCAAGTATGAACTGGGGAGTAAATGATTTTGAGTGAACAAAATGGACTGACAATGAACTTAAACACGACGCAACACATAACTATTTGTGTAACTGTTAGCACTGATAGAGTAGCATAGATTTCAACTATTTTCTTTAAATGCTGTGTGTTGTATGTAGATGAGAAGAGGCAGAGCAGGAAGAGCGGGAGCTCTCGTCTGAGTGAGGCCCGACGGAGAGGACGCACCGTGCTCTGCCACATCACCAGCCAGTTCTCCCGCGGGGGCAAGAACGAAGTCAACCTCGGCGGGGTCAGTACACTACAGCACTGATTACTACTCCTTACTACATACTCATATTAATTGTCTAATTATATATAAACACTTGAAGCTAGTGAGTGTACTAGCTGTTGGCAGAGGTGTAATCATACATAGATGTAACAATACAATATACAAAAAGATTAATCTGATTTAAAAGCACCATATTTTTACAACCATGAGGTGCCTAGGAACCAATCACATACCAATTGAAAAAGGGGGTTATAGAGTTTCTGACTGTCACTGGAAGATGGCTCCCTTCAGTCTGCGAGGAGATGAGACCCCTGAGCAGAAAGCGTTTTGCGTTCTCCACTTCAATAAGAGTGAATCCGTCGTAACTGTGCAACGTGATGTTCATCGGCAGTGAACCTCCAACAGCTCAGAGCGTTCGTTGTTGGTTCCACAACACTGGATGATCTCTGAAATCGCATTTGAAGAGCCGTGAGTACAGTGACACTCGACATGCTCAATCGAGTATGGGATGAATTTGACTATGGCGCTGATGTTGTCTGTACAGCTGGAGGAGGTTCATATTGAGCACTAGTAAATTTACATAATAAACTCTATGCTCATTTAAACCATTTACAATTTACTGCATTGTTCTGTAATTTAAAAGTAAAATTAATCATTTTTTCACCTCAGTTTGACATTTCTCAGGCATTTTTGAAAAACAACCTACTGATGAATCTGCTGATGAATCTTCATGAGCATGAAGTTTCCTACTACTGCTTAGTTTTCGTTGATTAAAAACACTCTGGACTGGCAATGGTGGTTTACTTGGGCCCAATCCCATTTCACCTCTTGCCCCCCAAACTGCTACAATGTAGTTGCAATGAACGCATATGCAATTGGTAAACCTACTTTACAGAAGTTGAGTGAAATGTTACTTTGAACATTGGGGATTTTCTTTTCCTAGTAGATGTTATTAAATGTGTACATGTTTTTATATTGTCGACAAGTTTTCATATTCACCTGTGAACTATCATGCTAATGTGCAGCCTACTTCTTACATTTTTCAAACAAACCTTCACCGAAAAAAGGTGGAAAAGACAAGAAAGTAAAACAGCTTAAATCAGAGCAGCAACTGTCTTATTAGTCTGTTTTTAGGTCCATTTTTGGGTTTTTACAACTTTTCTTATGACAGCTTAGCCTAGCTTGTTCTTGCCAGTCCACAAGAGGAGCCCAGATGAAAGAAGGTTGAAATGAACTGAGCTTTTCAATAAAGATCTCATGAAAATTGGCAGTTTGAGCAGAAATTAACACTGTACATTATCAGTCACTCAATTTATGAAGGAAAAAGTAAGCAAACTTCTGTAATGTAACCTACGGCTTCATTGTAACCAGGACATCTGCACATTGTTAGCTTGCTAAGCAATATTTGTTGAGAAAACTCAGTGAAACGGATTGACTGGCATTACTGACCCTGCATTTTTGTCGTTTAAAATGTCTGTGAACTCTCCAGCCTGGGCACATTTCTCTTTGCTCTGTATCCAGTCATTTAGCAGATGTTCTTTCTGAAAAAAAACGGCTTACGTTCTCTTTTTGTATCTCATCATTTGCTGAAGCAATTTTGTTTAAGTGCTGGGCTGAAGGGCAGAACAGCTGTGTGACTTGGAGTCACACGATAAGTGTACAATCGCTAATCAATAGCCCAAACCACTGGAGCCAACACAGCTGCCCATATGACACAGAAGCGACACAGACAGTTAAGATTTGGCAGAATAGCACGGCAGCATTTGGTCAGCGCTGTTATGGCACTAGAAAGGAAGATTTACTGTTGGCTGACATGAGCTTTTTTTAACCTAACAAGCCCAATTTTACACATGCCAAGGAAGCTTTCCTGCTGAAAAACACAGCTTAGACCAACATGAAGCTGGTTTATGCTGGTGTGGTGCTAGTTTGGCTCATCACCCAGCATGTTCATACTGGTTGACCAGCATACCAGTGTCCAAAACACAACGTATCTGCATCTCCACGGGTCATTTTTTGACGTAATTGGTAAATGCCAGTCTTTTATGATGCATAAAGTGTATATTTTCCTAAAACAGGTAGCTTATAAGCATATCTCAGCTTATACCATTCAAACCTGAACTTTTTAAGGGCCCATTTAGTTTGATGCAAATGTTATAAGTACTTGAATCTTTGACAGTGAATCGATTTGTTTCACGATGACTTGGTTTTCCATTTGATTCAGAAATGATTTTTGTAAATTAGGAACGATTGACTTTATTCTATACACAGTAATACAAATCTGTGAATTAGTTAATCAACTTTTAAGAATAAATATAACAAATTGAAAATATTCATATAATGAACTAACAGACTTCTAATATTTCATAGGCAAAATTTGAATCAGTAAAATGACTTCCGTTTTCCTCAACAAAGGTGATTTCAGAAGGCTAAATTACCTGGACACAGGCTAATAAACAAGGAACCTTTTTTTCATTCCATCTCTGATTCAGAAAAAAAGGAAATAGGCTTATTTTCAAAGTAATTTTGGAGTGCTTCTATTGGTCGGTTTATCATGAAACTTATATACTCATATTACTCAAATACAGTTGGTTTTTTCAAATTATATCAAAAAATTAAAAATGGAGATGCAAGGTTGAAAGATTTAGACTGAGTGTAATTTTTAAATAATATTAAAAATACTTTATTCAAAAAATGCTGTCTCACATTTTCATGTCACTACCGAAACACAGAGTTTTAGTCTGTGGGTGGAGCCTTATTTTAGCCACACCCATGCCTTTTAGAGCAGGAAGTGAGATTGCATCCCTGTCCCTTATGGCCACATGGTGAGGAGTTAGATCCCATTGTTTTGGATTAAATGTGTTCCAAAGTCTGAAAATCATTGTGGGACATTAAGAATTGTCGCTAGTGAAACACATATTTTCTACAATGAAGTAAATTTTTCTGTTTTAAAAAAATGATTTTTTGTTTGTATAACTGAGCTAAAATTGTCACTACTGAAACAGTCACTACTGAAACATTTGGTAAAGTTTCGTAAAGTGTTCTGATTGTTTGGTAGTGACAAAATAGCATGTTCATTTATTTTAATACAATAAACATAAGGTATAGTGCCATTTAAAGCAAAAGGATTGTTGGAATATGAAATACGACTGCTCAAATGTGATGTGCAAGTAATCTGTAATCAAATTTTATTTAGTTTATTGTATTTATTTTGTCAGGTAACATGTATAAAAACATGTTTTAGCATGTTTTGAATCAGAATTAGCATTTGCATTAATTACCTAATAGTCCCTCCCCTCTGTGACCTCTGCATTACATTACACTGAACAGTACTGAACCTCTGTGCCTCCTTATCAACAAGAAAGGGTGCTGTGTTGCGCTAATGCTAACAGCCATCAAAAACACTAATTACGCTATTCAACACAAATTTCACAGCGTGGATGTCCCTTTGTGTGCCCAAACCCAAAGTTGGCTGAGAGGTTGCTGTAGTGGCAGCTGTTGCCGGGAGACATGTCACAGTTGCTATGGCGTTAGGGCAGGAGGGCAATTGCAGGCTGACGTTTTTGGCCAAAGCTAAGGGCACTTCAAGAGCCCCTGTAATACTTCCCCTGCGATTTTGTATCAAGATGACTGCTGTGCTAGCTTCAAAACGCAGTCGCCTCTAAAAAAGGCCAGAAACTGTTTTTCACAGCTGTTGGAAAATGCTGAGTAAAAGAGTATGAATGTGAGATTATTGCTTTCTTTGGAACAGTGTGATCTGGTTAATTATAGGATTCATTACTAGACTTGCAAAAAACTGTATAAGCCAATAATGCAACTATACACAACATATACAGACACTACACAAGGGTTACTCTCAGGCAGAATTAGAGCTGTATGATATGGACATAAAATGCTATGCCTGATAAAGCTGTTGGAGATCATTATGACTATATTGATTGGATTCATTTAGAGTGGGCACTAGTTGGATTAATTTACAGTGGGCACTGGTTGGATTAATTCAGAGTGGGCCATGGCTGGATTCATTTAGAGCAGGCACTGGTTGGATTCATTTAGAGTGGGCACTGGTTGGATTCATTTAGAGCGGGCGCTGGCTGGATTCATTTAGAGCGAGCACGGGTTAGATTCATTTAGAGTGGGCACTGTTTGGATTTGTTTAAAACAAGCACTGGTTGGATTCATTTAGAGCAGACACTGGCTGGATTCATTTAGCGTGGACACTGGTTGGATTCATTTAGAGTGGACACTGGTTAGATTCATTCAGAGCGGGCACTGGCTGGATTCATTTAGAGTGGACACTGGTTGGATTCATTTAGAGCGGGCACTGGTTAGATTCATTCAGACCGGGCACTGGCTGGATTCATTTATAGCGAGCACTGGTTAGATTCATTCAGAGCGGGCACTGGTTGGATTAATTTTGAGCGGGCACTGGCTGGATTCATTTAGAGGGAGCACTGGTTAGATTCATTCAGAGCGAGCACTGGCTGGATTCATTTAGAGCAAGCACTGGTTAGATTCATTCAGAGCGGGCACTGTCTGGATTCATTTATAGCGAGCACTGGTTAGATTCATTCAGAGCGAGCACTGGCTGGATTCATTTAGAGTGGGCACTAGTTGGATTCATTTAGAGCAGGCACTGGTTGGATTCATTTAGAGCGGGCACTGGCTGGATTCATTTAGAGTGGGCACTAGTTGGATTCATTTAGAGCGGACACTGGTTAGATTCATTCAGAGTGGGCACTGGCTGGATTCATTTAGAGCAGACACTGGTTGGATTAATTTAGAGCGAGCACTGGCTGGATTCGTTTAGAGCGGACACTGGTTGGATTCATTTAGAGCGAGCACTGGCTGGATTCATTTAGAGCGGACACTGGTTAGATTCATTCAGAGTGGGCACTGGCTGGATTCATTTAGAGCGAGCACTGGTTAGATTCATTTAGAGCGGGCACTGGCTGGATTAATTTAGAGCGAGCACTGGCTGGATTCATTTAGAGCGGACACTGGTTGGATTCATTTAGAGCGGG